ATTTAATATTAAATCAGGCAGAGGTCAGTAGTTGAGGTCATGGGACAAAGTGTATCTGATGTCTCTTCACCAACTTCTCTTTTATTGTCAACATCAACTTTTATTTCAATAAAAACATGGTCAAATAAACAGTTTATTGAGCTGTAGCATTACGGAAACTGATCTAGATCTTAAAGATATGACAAAATATGGGCTAATCTCAAATGTGTTGTTGCATTCCTTTGGATCAGTAACTTATGTTTGTGGGAAAGTAAGATGATTGGATAGTGAGAGCTCTGTTGGCATAACGTTTATAGAAAACGTTTACACCTTTTGGAAACAGAAGATGCCCTACAGGAATGACGGAGTCCATCCAAATCATCTTGGCTCCTGGACCCTGTCCGCGCATTTCAAGGCTGCGTTGAGACAACGACTTATCAGTGACACAAAGCCCTGCTCAGATCATCCCTACCATTGTGTCGCTGAGTTGTCGTAGTGCTGCTGCACATGTACATTGTCCCAGGGGGCGTTGGCAGTCAGAATGTAAGTAACCTAATGTATGTCCCTCTAACTGCCCTGAATGCCTCTGTCGATCCTACAGCTATGGTATGCAGTAATTATGAGCCTATGAACCAGAGTTACACTGTTAGCACTGAGGTGGTGTGCCCTAGTAGGAAGTCCACTGTGTGCAGCTCACCTTGCACTAACATAAATAACCTAAGCATGTCTACCTCTGATAAGCCTCCCCAGAAAAGCAATACAAATAATCAAGAATCCCAGAAAAGTGCACAAAAAATTTTTGCCCACATTTAAACATATGTAGCCTAAGAAACAAGGTTCATGAAATCGATAACTTGCTAATAACATTCATATACTGACTTTGTGAAACTCACTGTAGATAATACCTTTGATGATACAGTGGTAGAAATACATTGTTTCAAGATCTTCAGAAGAGACAGGAATGCCAATAGTGGAGGTGTTGCCGTTTATGTTCATTTTATGTTGCTGTTTATGAGTCATATTCCTGTAAAGTTTAGAGAGGATCTCATGTCAAATGCTGTTGAAGTAATATGGCTACAGGTTCATCTGCCTCACCTAAAGCCCATTCTGGTGGGAAGCTGCTATAGACCACCAAGCGCTAACAGTCAGTATCTGGATAATATATGTGAAATGCTTGATAATGTATGTGATATCAATAGAGAGGTATACTTTCTGGGTGATTTTAAATATTGACTGGCTGTCATCAGGCTGCCCACTCAAGAGAAAGTTTCAAATTGTAACCAGTGCCTGCAACCTGGTTCAGGTTATCTGTCAACCTACCAGGGTATTTACAAACAGCACAGGAACTAAATCATCCACATGCATTGATCTTTACTGATGCTGCAGAAATCTGCTCTAAAGCAGTATCCAAATCTATCGGATGTATTGATCACACAATAGTAGCCATATCTAGGAAAACCAAAGTTCCAAAGGCTGGGCCTAATATAGTGTATAAGAGGTCATACAATAAGTTTTGTAATGATTCCTATGTTGAAGATGTAGAGAATATGTGTTGGTCTGTTGTGTGTAAAAATATAGCCTAATACAGTGTGTAATGAGGTCTGTGGTGTGTAATGACGTCTGTGGTGTGTAATGAGGAGCAACCAGACGCTGCACTTGACAATATTTATGACATTGCTCATTCCAATTACTAATAAGCTTGCGACCATTAAGACAATGACTGTAAAAATTGTTACATCCTTGTGGATTGATGAGGAATTTAAAAAGTGTATGGTTGAGAGGGATGAGGCAAAAGGAATGGCAAATAAGTCTGGCTGCACTGCCGATTGGCAAACGTACTGTAAATTGAGAAATCTTGACTAAACTTAACAAAAATAAGAAAAACAAACAAAGATAAATTATATAAAGAATGATAACTTAAGTGACATTTTGGGCAAGTGGGCAAACTCAGCTCCATCATTCAACGCATCAGACGGCTCTTTCATCACAAAACCCACTGATATTTCCAACTACTTCAATTATTTTTCCATTGGCAAGATTAGCTAACTTAGGCATAAACCTACACATACATGCATAACTGACCAAATTCTGAAAGACAAGCATTGTCATTTTGAATTCCGTAAAGTGAGTGTGGAAGAGGTGAAACAATTATTGTTGTCTATCAACGATGACAAGCCACCGGTGTCTGACAACTTGGATGGAAAATGACTGAGGATGATAGCGGACTATATTGCCACTCCTATTTGCCATCTCTTCAATCGAAGCCAACAGGAAAGTGTGCCCCCTCAGGCCTGGAGGGAAGCTAAAGTCATTCCGCTACCTAAGAATAGTAAAGCCCCCTTTACTGGCTCAAATAGCCAATCAGCCTGTTACCAACCCTTAGTAAAGTTTGGGAAGAAATTGTGTTTGACCAAATACAATGCTATTTTACAGTAAACAAATGTTCAGCACGCTTATAGGGAAGGGATATTCAACATGCACAGCACTTACACAAATTACTGATGATGAATGGCTGAGAGAAATTGATAATAAAAAAAATAGATTGTAGGAGCTGTTTTGTTAGACTTCAGTGCGGCTTTTGACGTTATCAATCATAATCTGCTGCTGGAAAAACTTGTGTTATGGCTTTACGTCCCCTGCTATATATTGTGGTTTGAGAGTTACCTGTCTAACAGAACACAGAGGGTGTTCTTTAATGGAAGCCTCTCCAACATAATCCAGGTAGAATCAGGAATTCCCCAGGGCAGCTGTCTAGGCCCCTTACCTTTTTCAATCTTTACTAATGACATGCCACTGGCTTTGAGTAAACCCAGTGTGTCTATGTAGGCAGATGACTCAATACTATACATGTCAGCTACCACAGCAAGTGAAATCACTGGAACACTTAACAAAGAGCTGCAGTCAGTTTCAGAATGGGTGGCAAGAAATAAGTTAGTCCTAAATATTTAAGAAACTTAAAGCATTGTATTTGTGACAAATCATTCACTAAACCCTAAACTAAATTGTGTAATGAATAATGTGGACATTTAGCAAGTTGAGGAGACTAAACTGCTTGGAGTAACCCTGGATTGTAAACTGTCATGGTCAAAACATATTGATACAACAGTAGCTAAGATGGGGAGAAGTCTGTCCATAATAAAGTGCAGATCTGCCTTCTTAACAACACTATCAACAAGGCAGGTCCTACAGGCCCTAGTTTTGTCGCACCTGGACTACTGTTCAGTAGTATGGTCAGGTGCCACAAAGAACAGGGCAGCACGGCTGGCCCTTAAATGTACACGAGAGCTAACAGTAATATGTATGTCAATCTCTCCTGGCTCAAAGTAGAGGAGGGATTGATTTCATCACTACTTGTATTTGTGAGAGGTATTGACATGTTGAATGCACTGAGCTGTCTGTTTAAACTACTGGCACACAGCTCGGACACCCATGCATACCCCACAAGACATGCCACCAGAGGTCTCTTCACAGTCCCCAAGTCCAGAACAGACTTTGGGAGGTGCACAGTACTACATAGAGCCATGACTACATGGAACTCTATTCCACATCAGGTAACTGATGCAAGCAGTAGAATCCGAATTTTTTTTAACTGATAAAAATACACCTTATGGAACAGCGGGGACTGTGAAGCAACACAAACATAGACACATGCACACAAACACACATGATAACATACGCACTATACACACACGTACACATGGATTTTGTACTGTAGATATGTGGTAGTGGAGTAGGGGCCTGAGGGTACACAGTTAATGTGTTGTGAAATCTGTTGTGAATGTATTGGAATGTTTTTAATTGTTTATAACTGCCTTAATTTTGCCGGACCCCAGGAAGAGTAGCGGCTACCTTGGCAGGAACTAATGGTAATCCTTAATAAATACAAATACAAAAATTGGTTGAATCATAAGGTGGCTCTCATGTGATTGGTTGAAATCAGAAGATGGCTCTTATGTGATTGGTTAATTCCAAAGGCTGCTCCCACATGATTGGTTGATTCAGAAGGCTCTTCTAGAAGGTTGCTCTCATGTTGTTTCTGGCGTTCTTTATCTCCAGTTCCAGCTGTGTGATCCGGACCTACACAAAACCACACAGTGCTCTGGTCAAAGGTCAGCCCCTGATATCATCTACACCACACACACACCAGACCAGAGAGACACACACACACACACACACACACACACACACACACACACACACACACGAGACACACACCAGACCAGAGAGACACACACACACACGAGACACACACCAGACACACACCAGACCAGACACACACACCAGACACACACCAGACCAGACACACACACACCAGACACACACCAGACACACACCAGACACACACCAGACACACACCAGACACACACACCAGAGATACATGCTGAGTGTACAAAACATTAAGAACACCTGCTCTTTCCATGACAGACTGACCAGGTGAAAGCTATGATCCCTTATAGGTGTCACTTGTTAAATCCACTTCAATCAGTGTAGATGAAGGGGAGGAGACGGGTTAAAGAAGGATTTTTAAGCCTTGAGACAACTGAGACATGGATTGTGTATGTGTGCCATTCAGAGGGTAAATGGGCAAGACAAAATATTTAAGTGCCTTTGAACGGGGCATGGTAGTAGGTGCCAGGCACACCGGTTTGTGTCAAGAACTGAAACACTGCTGGGTTTTTCACACTCAACAGTTTCCTGTGTGTATCAAGAAAGGTCCACCACCCAAAGGACGTCCAGCCAACTTCACACAACTGTGGGAAGCATTGGAGTCAACATGGGCCAGCATCCCTGTGGAACGCTTTTCGACACCTAGTAGAGTCCATTCCCCCCCGACGAATTTAGGCTGTTCTGAGGGCAAAAAAGGAGGGTTGGAGGGGGACAACTCAATATTAGGAAGGTGTTCTTAATGTTTTGTCCACTCAGTGTATACACACAGTGACCTTTCTCTGGTTGAGCTGGTCTCTCAGTCCCCTGATCTCCTCTTGTTGTCTGTAGAACGCATGTAGGAGCTGCAACACACCACACACAGACACACACTTCAAAACGTCAAAACACCTCTGAAACCAGACTCTACAAAAACCGGCTCTGGATGTAGGCCTTCCTATGACAGCCTATCCCACTCACCTCGCTCTCTGTCCTGGGTGGAGGGCACTCTGAGGGCTCACAGCAGTGGGGAGTGATAGCGGCCTGGGTCTGGTGGGTGTAGGCCCAACCGGGAGCCTGGGTCTCGTCTGGCTGCCAGCCCGACAGATCAGCCACCTCCCTGGGGTACTTGGCGTCCTGGTAGGAGAGCTGCTCCTGGAGGAAGGCCTGCTCCGTGGACCCTGGCCCTCCTGGTACCCCACACTGGAAGCACAGGCTGCTCAGCCCCCTCCTGGGTGGGGTCTCTGGGTAAGGGTTGGCTACCTTCGTGCCAGGTTTCAGACACATCAGCACCGGGCCTGGTGGTGGTGGATACAACAGTGGTTTAGGCTGTGTCCCAAATCACACCCTATTCCCTATTGAGTCCACTACTTTTTGACCAGACTGTTAGGGTGCCATTTTGGGATGAAGCCTTGTGTTCGGGGATTGAAGGGGGAGAAACTGTGTTTTGTAATCCCTGCTGGTCAGCCATGTTGGCACCAGTGTCCCTTTATCGAATAAGGAAAAAGGTGGAGAGATGGGGCCTACTGGTCTGCCAGTTTCCCTATTATACAGGCCTTTCTATGCAACTGAGAGCCATAGTTGCCCATGTTGGGTCCAGTATCCCTGTAGTGAATAAGTAATTATGCCGCGTTCACGTCATGTCGGAGTGATCGGAGGAACGACTTGTCTACTTTTGGAGGAACACTTGGAGAGTTCACGTGCTCGGAAGGAAAGCAAAGACCCATTCTCACCACTGACAGACGAAATCACAGCCCATGTCTGTTGTCATTTTCGGTGGTGCGTGACGTCAGAGTTCAGCGTGTTGGAAAGATCGGGGTCCAGAGATCATACCCGAGTTTCCTAGTCGTAATTACAAGTTAGAGGGGTGTTCACCTGCATTTTTCCCAGTAGGAAGATCTTATTTACGAGTTCCCGACATGACGTGAATGCGGAAAGGGGCCTACAGGTCGGGCAGTTTCCCTATTACACAGGCCTTTATATGCAACTGAGAGCTATAGTCGACCATCTTGGCTCCCTGTTACACTGACCTCTATTGATCCCCGAGAGCCACTGTTGAGCCGTCAGGGCCGCCTCGTTGCCTGCTGTCATGGGGAAGATGTCTTCCTGGAAGGTCTTCGGGGACTGGAGAGAGGACATAAAACAGTTGAGTGATCTCTCTCTCTCTCTCTCTCTCTCTCTCTCTCTCTCTCTCTCTCTCTCTCTCTCTCTGCATGACAAACATTGGTAAATATTGCCAAAGCATCAATGTTACAGCTGCCTTAAGTCATATACATTGAAATAGGTCCTTAAATGGTCACAAGACTGTAGAACCGCTGTCCATGAAGAGTGGTGTGTGTGTGTGTCTCCTACCCTGCGAGGGACGATCATGGAGAGCGGTTCGACCAGGTCCTTAATGGTCACCAAGCGGTAGAACCGGAACACCTCACAGGAACTCACGTCCAGACCGCGCTTCGGCATGACCCCTGGAGAGGTCAGAGTTCACAAGGTCAGAGGTGAGTACAGGGGTCAGTCACTAGGTCAGTTCATAAGTATATATTTAACACATATTTATGTATCGGAATCCCCAAAACAGCATAAACACTGCACATATGACTGCATCTTGAGTACGGATGAATGTACAGAAGCCCATTATGGACTGGGTAAAGATATATGTTTAGTTCTTATACAGTCTATATACAGTCCATATACAGTCTTATATACTGTCCATATACAGTCCATGTTCTATCTAGACATTACCCAGTCCTTTCTGAGGTAGTAGTAGTGTGTGTGTGTGTGTGTGTGTGTGTGTGTGTGTGTGTGTGTGTGTGCGTGCGTGCGTGCGTGCGTGCGTGCGTGCGTTTGTCCTTACCCAGTCCTTTCTGAGGCAGTAGGGAGTAGTACTCAGTGAGGAACTGAACGTAGGGCTTCTCAGAACTGATCTCATAATACCGGATGTTACCATCGCCCTGGAACACACACAAACCTAATGTAACCATCAGCCTGGAACACACACAAACCTAATGTAACCATCACCCTGGAACACACACAAACCTAATGTAACAATCAGCCTGGAACACACACAAACCTAATGTAACCATCGCCCTGGAACACACACAAACCTAATGTAACCATCGCCCTGGAACACAAACAAACCTAATGTAACCATCAGCCTGGAACACACACAAACCTAATGTAACCATCGCCCTGGAACACAAACAAACCTAATGTAACCATCAGCCTGGAACACACACAAACCTAATGTTACCATCAGCCTGGAACACACACAAACCTAATGTAACCATCAGCCTGGAACACACACAAACCTAATGTAACCATCGCCCTGGAACACACACAAACCTAATGTAACCATCACCCTGGAACACACACAAACCTAATGTAACCATCAGCCTGGAACACACACAAACCTAATGTAACCATCAGCCTGAGGAAGTAGGAGAGAGTCGGAAGAGGAGAGAGGAGGACTGAGGAGGAGAGAGTTACAGCGAAGCTACATAACTCCCCCTTCTCTAGAGAAACGAAAACATACAGCGTTCATTCTGCTGTGCCCGTTGTTTGACATACGTCAGTTGCATTAGTTTCCAGAGAACGCATATTGATTATCCCCGTTTATACCGTGGCTATAATTTAACACATTTACCGCTAGAAATGTGTTCAGCATCCACTGAAGAAGCTAGCAAGTTTACTAGATAGCGACAGTAGTTGCCTTGGTAACCAAACAAAAATACTTGCTAGTTTTTGCTCAGTGGTTCCCAAACTTTTTCCACTCGGGGAGGTGGGAGGTGGGGGGGGGGACATCCCACGTTTACTTCTATGGGCACAAGCTGTTCACACCGCTCTTGTTGGTGGAGAGAATTTTGCGGTTTTAAAGCTTATTTCCTGCAATTCTACACATTTTGTCATGGGGTGCAAAGAACATTTTGCAGTTTTAAAGCAATTTTTTTTGCAATTCTATGCCATCTCTAATGTGTATTCATGTGATATTTGAGTGTAAAACATTACAACAATATATATGGGCTTTCTGACAAGTTATAAATAGCTCTCTAAGGTATGCAATGACTGACATGACAAGAGGAATACTGATGCACGACCCAAATTGGAAATTGCACCTTGTGTATTTTAATATTACAACTTTCAAGAGTACGTTTAAAGCCGGACTGAATTCCCCCCCGGTCATAGCAGAGTGATTGATCAGTATTGATTACCTTGCCAGCCAGGTACAGTATGTGTGCATCACGGTCATAGCAGAGTGATTGATCAGTATTGATTACCTTGCCAGCCAGGTACAGTATGTGTGTATCAGGGTCATAGCAGAGTGATTGATCAGTATTGATTACCTTGCCAGCCAGGTACAGTATGTGTGTATCAGGGTCATAGCGGAGTGATTGATCAGTATTGATTACCTTGCCAGCCAGGTACAGTATGTGTGCATCACGGTCATAGCAGAGTGATTGATCAGTATTGATTACCTTGCCAGCCAGGTACAGTATGTGTGTATCGGGGTCATAGCAGAGTGATTGATCAGTATTGATTACCTTGCCAGCCAGGTACAGTATGTGTGTATCGGGGTCATAGCAGAGTGATTGATCAGTATTGATTACCTTGCCAGCCAGGTACAGTATGTGTGTATCAGGGTCATAGCAGAGTGATTAATCAGTATTGATTACCTTGCCAGCCAGGTACAGTATGTGTGCATCACGGTCATAGCAGAGTGATTGATCAGTATTGATTACCTTGCCAGCCAGGTACAGTATGTGTGTATCGGGGTCATAGCAGAGTGATTGATCAGTATTGATTACCTTGCCAGCCAGGTACAGTATGTGTGTATCGGGTCATAGCAGAGTGATTGATCAGTATTGATTACCTTGCCAGCCAGGTACAGTATGTGTGCATCACGGTCATAGCAGAGTGATTGATCAGTATTGATTACCTTGCCAGCCAGGTACAGTATGTGTGTATCAGGGTCATAGCAGAGTGATTGATCAGTATTGATTACCTTGCCAGCCAGGTACAGTATGTGTGTATCAGGGTCATAGCAGAGTGATTGATCAGTATTGATTACCTTGCCAGCCAGGTACAGTATGTGTGCATCACGGTCATAGCAGAGTGATTGATCAGTATTGATTACCTTGCCAGCCAGGTACAGTATGTGTGTATCAGGGTCATAGCAGAGTGATTGATCAGTATTGATTACCTTGCCAGCCAGGTACAGTATGTGTGCATCACGGTCATGGCAGAGTGATTGATCAGTATTGATTACCTTGCCAGCCAGGTACAGTATGTGTGCATCACGGTCATAGCAGAGTGATTGATCAGTATTGATTACCTTGCCAGCCAGGTACAGTATGTGTGTATCACGGTCATAGCAGAGTGATTGATCAGTATTGATTACCTTGCCAGCCAGGTACAGTATGTGTGTATCAGGGTCATAGCAGAGTGATTGATCAGTATTGATTACCTTGCCAGCCAGGTACAGTATGTGTGTATCAGGGTCATAGCAGAGTGATTGATCAGTATTGATTACCTTGCCAGCCAGGTACAGTATGTGTGTATCACGGTCATAGCAGAGTGATTGATCAGTATTGATTACCTTGCCAGCCAGGTACAGTATGTGTGTATCGGGGTCATAGCAGAGTGATTGATCAGTATTGATTACCTTGCCAGCCAGGTACAGTATGTGTGTATCGGGGTCATAGCAGAGTGATTGATCAGTATTGATTACCTTGCCAGCCAGGTACAGTATGTGTGCATCACGGTCATAGCAGAGTGATTGATCAGTATTGATTACCTTGCCAGCCAGGTACAGTATGTGTGTATCAGGGTCATAGCAGAGTGATTGATCAGTATTGATTACCTTGCCAGCCAGGTACAGTATGTGTGCATCACGGTCATAGCAGAGTGATTGATCAGTATTGATTACCTTGCCAGCCAGGTACAGTATGTGTGTATCACGGTCATAGCAGAGTGATTGATCAGTATTGATTACCTTGCCAGCCAGGTACAGTATGTGTGTATCAGGGTCATAGCAGAGTGATTGATCAGTATTGATTACCTTGCCAGCCAGGTACAGTATGTGTGTATCGGGGTCATAGCAGAGTGATTGATCAGTATTGATTACCTTGCCAGCCAGGTACAGTATGTGTGTATCAGGGTCATAGCAGAGTGATTGATCAGTATTGATTACCTTGCCAGCCAGGTACAGTATGTGTGCATCACGGTCATAGCAGAGTGATTGATCAGTATTGATTACCTTGCCAGCCAGGTACAGTATGTGTGTATCACGGTCATAGCAGAGTGATTGATCAGTATTGATTACCTTGCCAGCCAGGTACAGTATGTGTGTATCACGGTCATAGCAGAGTGATTGATCAGTATTGATTACCTTGCCAGCCAGGTACAGTATGTGTGTATCGGGGTCATAGCAGAGTGATTGATCAGTATTGATTACCTTGCCAGCCAGGTACAGTATGTGTGTATCGGGGTCATAGCAGAGTGATTGATCAGTATTGATTACCTTGCCAGCCAGGTACAGTATGTGTGCATCACGGTCATAGCAGAGTGATTGATCAGTATTGATTACCTTGCCAGCCAGGTACAGTATGTGTGTATCGGGGTCATAGCAGAGTGATTGATCAGTATTGATTACCTTGCCAGCCAGGTACAGTATGTGTGTATCAGGGTCATAGCAGAGTGATTGATCAGTATTGATTACCTTGCCAGCCAGGTACAGTATGTGTGTATCACGGTCATAGCAGAGTGATTGATCAGTATTGATTACCTTGCCAGCCAGGTACAGTATGTGTGCATCACGGTCATAGCAGAGTGATTGATCAGTATTGATTACCTTGCCAGCCAGGTACAGTATGTGTGCATCACGGTCATAGCAGAGTGATTGATCAGTATTGATTACCTTGCCAGCCAGGTACAGTATGTGTGTATCACGGTCATAGCAGAGTGATTGATCAGTATTGATTACCTTGCCAGCCAGGTACAGTATGTGTGTATCACGGTCATAGCAGAGTGATTGATCAGTATTGATTACCTTGCCAGCCAGGTACAGTATGTGTGTATCGGGGTCATAGCAGAGTGATTGATCAGTATTGATTACCTTGCCAGCCAGGTACAGTATGTGTGTATCGGGGTCATAGCAGAGTGATTGATCAGTATTGATTACCTTGCCAGCCAGGTACAGTATGTGTGCATCACGGTCATAGCAGAGTGATTGATCAGTATTGATTACCTTGCCAGCCAGGTACAGTATGTGTGTATCAGGGTCATAGCAGAGTGATTGATCAGTATTGATTACCTTGCCAGCCAGGTACAGTATGTGTGCATCACGGTCATAGCAGAGTGATTGATCAGTATTGATACCTTGCCAGCCAGGTACAGTATGTGTGTATCACGGTCATAGCAGAGTGATTGATCAGTATTGATACCTTGCCAGCCAGGTACATATGTGTGTATCAGGGTCATAGCAGAGTGATTGATCAGTATTGATTACCTTGCCAGCCAGGTACAGTATGTGTGTATCACGGTCATAGCAGAGTGATTGATCAGTATTGATTACCTTGCCAGCCAGGTACAGTATGTGTGTATCAGGGTCATAGCAGAGTGATGATCAGTATTGATTACCTGCCAGCCAGGTACAGTATGTGTGTATCGGGTCATAGCAGAGTGATTGATCAGTATTGATTACCTTGCCAGCCAGGTACAGTATGTGTGTATCGGGGTCGTAGCAGAGTGATTGATCAGTATTGATTACCTTGCCAGCCAGGTACAGTATGTGTGTATCAGGGTCATAGCAGAGTGATTGATCAGTATTGATTACCTTGCCAGCCAGGTACAGTATGTGTGTATCGGGGTCATAGCAGAGTGATTGATCAGTATTGATTACCCTTGCCAGCCAGGTACAGTATGTGTGTATCAGGGTCATAGCAGAGTGATTGATCAGTATTGATTACCTTGCCAGCCAGGTACAGTATGTGTGTATCGGGTCATAGCAGAGTGATTGATCAGTATTGATTACCTTGCCAGCCAGGTACAGTATGTGTGCATCACGGTCATAGCAGAGTGATTGATCAGTATTGATTACCTTGCCAGCCAGGTACAGTATGTGTGTATCAGGGTCATAGCAGAGTGATTGATCAGTATTGATTACCTTGCCAGCCAGGTACAGTATGTGTGTCACGGTCATAGCAGAGTGATTGATCAGTATTGATTACCTTGCCAGCCAGGTACAGTATGTGGTATCAGGGTCATAGCAAAGTGATTGATCAGTATTGATTCCTTGCCAGCCAGGTACAGTATGTGTGTATCAGGTCATAGCAGAGTGATTGATCAGTATTGATTACCTTGCCAGCCAGGTACAGTATGTGTGTATCAGGGTCATAGCAGAGTGATGATCAGTATTGATTACCTTGCCAGCCAGGTACAGTATGTGTGTATCAGGGTCATAGCAGAGTGATTGATCAGTATTGATTACCTTGCCAGCCAGGTACAGTATGTGTGTATCACGGGTCATAGCAGAGTGATTGATCAGTATTGATTACCTTGCCAGCCAGGTACAGTATGTGTGTATCAGGGTCATAGCAGAGTGATTGATCAGTATTGATTACCTTGCCAGCCAGGTACAGTATGTGTGTATCACGGGTCATAGCAGAGTGATTGATCAGTATTGATTACCTTGCCAGCCAGGTACAGTATGTGTGTATCAGGGTCATAGCAGAGTGATTGATCAGTATTGATTACCTTGCCAGCCAGGTACAGTATGTGTGTATCGGGGTCATAGCAGAGTGATTGATCAGTATTGATTACCTTGCCAGCCAGGTACAGTATGTGTGTATCGGGGTCGTAGCAGAGTGATTGATCAGTATTGATTACCTTGCCAGCCAGGTACAGTATGTGTGTATCAGGGTCATAGCAGAGTGATTGATCAGTATTGATTACCTTGCCAGCCAGGTACAGTATGTGTGTATCGGGGTCATAGCAGAGTGATTGATCAGTATTGATTACCTTGCCAGCCAGGTACAGTATGTGTGTATCAGGGTCATAGCAGAGTGATTGATCAGTATTGATTACCTTGCCAGCCAGGTACAGTATGTGTGTATCGGGGTCATAGCAGAGTGATTGATCAGTATTGATTACCTTGCCAGCCAGGTACAGTATGTGTGCATCACGGTCATAGCAGAGTGATTGATCAGTATTGATTACCTTGCCAGCCAGGTACAGTATGTGTGTATCAGGGTCATAGCAGAGTGATTGATCAGTATTGATTACCTTGCCAGCCAGGTACAGTATGTGTGTATCACGGTCATAGCAGAGTGATTGATCAGTATTGATTACCTTGCCAGCCAGGTACAGTATGTGTGTATCAGGGTCATAGCAGAGTGATTGATCAGTATTGATTACCTTGCCAGCCAGGTACAGTATGTGTGTATCAGGGTCATAGCAGAGTGATTGATCAGTATTGATTACCTTGCCAGCCAGGTACAGTATGTGTGTATCAGGGTCATAGCAGAGTGATTGATCAGTATTGATTACCTTGCCAGCCAGGTACAGTATGTGTGTATCGGGGTCATAGCAGAGTGATTGATCAGTATTGATTACCTTGCCAGCCAGGTACAGTATGTGTGTATCGGGGTCATAGCAGAGTGATTGATCAGTATTGATTACCTTGCCAGCCAGGTACAGTATGGTGTGCATCACGGTCATAGCAGAGTGATTGATCAGTATTGATTACCTTGCCAGCCAGGTACAGTATGTGTGTATCAGGGTCATAGCAGAGTGATTGATCAGTATTGATTACCTTGCCAGCCAGGTACAGTATGTGTGCATCACGGTCATAGCAGAGTGATTGATCAGTATTGATTACATGGCCAGCCAGGTACAGTATGTGTGTATCACGGTCATAGCAGAGTGATTGATCAGTATTGATTACCTTGCCAGCCAGGTACAGTATGTGTGTATCAGGGTCATAGCAGAGTGATTGATCAGTATTGATTACCTTGCCAGCCAGGTACAGTATGTGTGTATCACGGTCATAGCAGAGTGATTGATCAGTATTGATTACCTTGCCAGCCAGGTACAGTATGTGTGTATCAGGGTCATAGCAGAGTGATTGATCAGTATTGATTACCTTGCCAGCCAGGTACAGTATGTGTGCATCACGGTCATAGCAGAGTGATTGATCAGTATTGATTACCTTGCCAGCCAGGTTACAGTATGTGTGTATCAGGGTCATAGCAGAGTGATTGATCAGTATTGATTACCTTGCCAGCCAGGTACAGTATGTGTGCATCACGGTCATAGCAGAGTGATTGATCAGTATTGATTACCTTGCCAGCCAGGTACAGTATGTGTGTATCACGGTCATAGCAGAGTGATTGATCAGTATTGATTACCTTGCCAGCCAGGTACAGTATGTGTGTATCAGGGTCATAGCAGAGGTGATTGATCAGTATTGATTACCTTGCCAGCCAGGTACAGTATGTGTGTATCACGGTCATAGCAGAGTGATTGATCAGTATTGATTACCTTGCCAGCCAGGTACAGTATGTGTGTATCAGGGTCATAGCAGAGTGATTGATCAGTATTGATTACCTTGCCAGCCCAGGTACAAGTATGTGTGTATCGGGGTCATAGCAGGAGTGATTGATCAGTATTGATTACCTTGCCAGCCAGGTTACAGTATGTGTGTATCGGGGTCGTAGCAGAGTGATTGATCAGTATTGATTACCTTGCCAGCCAGGTCAGTATGTGTGTATCAGGGTCATAGCCAGAGTGATTGATCAGTATTGATTACCTTGCCAGCCAGGTACAGTATGTGTGTATCGGGGTCATAGCAGAGTGATTGATCAGTATTGATTACCTTGCCAGCCAGGTACAGTATGTGTGTATCAGGGTCATAGCAGAGTGATTGATCAGTATTGATTACCTTGCCAGCCAGGTACAGTATGTGTGTATCGGGGTCATAGCAGGAGTGATTGATCAGTAGATTACCTGCCAGACAGGGACAGTATGTGTGCATCACGGTCATAGCAGAGTGATTGATCAGTATTGATTACTTGCCGCCAGGTACAGTATGTGTGTTCAGGGTCATGGTGATCGTATGATACTGCAGCAGTACAGTAGTGTCATAGCAGAGTGATTGATCAGTATTTACTTGCCACAGGTACAGTATGTGTGTATCGGGTCATAGCAGAGTGATTGATCAGTATTGATTACCTGCAGCACAGTTGTGTGATCAGGTCTAGCGAGTGATTGATCAGTATTGATTACCTTGCCAGCCAGGTACAGTATGTGTGTATCAGGGTCATAGTCAAGGATGATATATGGATTACCTTGCCAGCCAGGTACAGTATGTGTGTATCAGGGTCGTAGAATGGGAAGAGAACTCCTGCAGCTCCATCCACCTCCTCCTCTAATAGAGGCTCTGACAGGTCATCCTGCACGGCAAACAGAAAACATTGACTGGTGTGTGTGTGCGGACGTGTGTGTGTGTGTGTGTATATACGGACGTGTGTGTGTATGTGCGGATGTGTGTGTGTGTGTGTGGACGTGTGTGTGTATGTGTGTATATACGGACGTGTGTGTGTATGTGCGGATGTGTGTGTGTATGTGCGGATGTGTGTGTGTGTGTGTGTGTGTGCGGACGTGTGTGTGTATGTGCGGATGTGTGTGTGTATGTGCGGATGTGTGTGTGTGTGTGTGCGGACGTGTGTGTGTATGTGCGGATGTGTGTGTGTATGTGCGGATGTGTGTGTGTGTGTGTGTGTGTGTGTGTGTGTGTGCGGACGTGTGTGTGTATGTGCGGATGTGTGTGTGTATGTGGACGTGTGTGTGTGTATATGTATGTGTGTGTGTGTGTGTGCGCCTCTCTCACCGGATCCCATAGTGTGATCTGTCTTTGGTTCCATGGTGAGCTCCCAGTAGAAAACAGCATGTTCTGGTCTCCTATAAACACCACCTTACTGGCCCTATGGTGTTTATAGCTGGACACCTACACACACACAGACACACACATATACACACACACACAGACACAGAGACACACACAGACACACACAGACACACACACACACACACACACACACACACAGACAGACACACACTAATGTTAAAGATAGAGTTGGAAAGATGGCCTAGCCCCTATGATCATTCTTGAATAGATATTTTAGTCATTAATTGGTCATATCCTCCTGCACCATCTATTAGACACTCAAGGACATGGACACATAAAGAATATGAACAAATAAAAAAATGATTCATTTTCAACACAAATCATTTTAATATAAATTAACAACATATCCATAGATTTCCAAAATTACCAGTTAATTTCCAGAAAATTACCGGGACTTTTACCAGCCCCCAACACAGACCTGTATGAGGCGTCCAGTGCGTGGGTCTAGGACTCTGATCTTCCTGTCCAGGCTGGTGGTAGCTAAAGAGCTGCCGTCGTTGTTGAAGGACATGGAGAGAACCAGCTCGGAGTGAAGAGATATTACACGTACTGGGTTCCTCAGCACTGAGCCACACACTGACACATCCCAGACCATCACCTGGGGGGAGGGAGGGGAGGAGAGAGACAGAGACAGAGACAGAGACAGAGAGAGAGAGAGAGAGAGAGAGAGAGAGGAGAGAGAGAGAGAGAGAGAGAGAGAGAGAGAGAGAGAGAGAGAGAGAGGAGAGAGAGAGAGAGAGAGAGAGAGAGAGAGAGAGAGAGAGAGAGAGAGAGAGAGAGAGAGAGAGAGAGAGAGAGAGAGAGAGAGAGAGAGAGACAGAGACAGAGACAGAGAGAGAGACAGAGAGAGAGAGAGAGAGACAGAGACAGAGACAGAGAGAGAGAGAGAGAGAGAGAGAATGAGAGAGAGAACAGAGACAGCGCGTGTGTGTGTTTTTGTCTTTTCAGATATGTGTGTCTGTTTCTACCTTATAGTCGTAGGCTGAGCTGACCAGTAGGTCTTTAGCAGTAGGGTGCCATTCTATGAGGTTGACTCTGCGGGTGTGACCCTGAAGCTCCTTCCTAGGGAGGGTCATGTTCTGATGGACACCACGGGCTGGGATGTCCCATAGCTTTACCTGCAACACACACACACACACACACACACGGGTCACGTGCACACACACACACACACACACACACACACACACACACACACACGGGTCACGCACACACACACACACACACACACACACACACACACGGGTCACGCACACACACACACACACACACACACACACACACACACACACGGGTCACGCACACACACACACACACACACACACACACACACACACGGGTCACGCACACACACACACACACACACACACAACGCATGTCAACACACTAGGGCTGACCCCAATTAGTCAACTGGTCGATTGTTTGGTTGTTATGCTGTTGGTCGACCGAGATTGTTTTAGTCGAGCGCCCATCTCAGTGAACTAATCCATTTTGGAGGCCTAGACTAAAAGCCAATTTATGCTTGATTCTAAAATGTGGTCAGAGGCTCCATTTTGGAGGGTGTGACGCAATTGCTGAAGCCATATCACCGTAAATGATGCATGGCCAATGCAGACGTCGGATGCCAGAATGCACTTCTCTCTCCAGAATGCACTTCTCTCTCCCGCCAATTTGCGCACGTTCATTGTTTCATAACTTCACTGTGTGGATTGTTTGCGTTTGATTGTTAGTGTATATCAATTCCCCATGACATATATCACCAGTAGTACACTTACCATTAATTCCTATAATTTCTAATCTACAACGTTTTTTAAAAACTTTGGTTACGGTCATTTCATTTAATGCATTCAATATTATTCCAGTCTTCCTGTTCTCATTGTCTGAGTGGGACACGTTGTTTGCAGAGTACACAATTCAGGCTACACTTGTGAGAAACAAGTTTTGGTATTATTTCATTACATTTACGAGTTCTGTCAATGGATTAATCGTCTTTTGTTTGGAGCACTCCTGTCAATGTTGAGTAAAGGACGCGCAGGCCAGGTAGCCTATAGGCTAATGTAGGCATATCAATGTGCCCGTTTGGGGATCTGATAGTATTTCTGATTGGCTTAACTCACCACCACTAATGACCTGTGGAACTTCTCAAAGTAATGTTTTCTTCACCTCAAAACAGCAAGCAAACAAAGTCTTTTTTTTTTTTTTTTTCATCCATTGAGAATAACAATCGTTCCTCGACATATTTGAAAAAATCTTTCCAGCTCTCTCCGTTTCGAGAACCACTCAGCGTTAAAGGGGGAAAAAAATGTCATGCTCTGATCCAGTGGAAACGTCATTAAAATAGGCTTATTATCAGTGCCTGACTGAAATAGGTTCCGGTACTCATTTTGGGTGCTGGTACTGTTTTTATATTTACGTGCAGGAGCTCCACAATACTTTTGAGCTAATATTCTATAAGAGGAACAGGAGCTCAAGAGGTAGAACATTTGAGGTGCCGGTACTCAGCTCCGGTCAGCTCCTGCTTCTTATCCCTTGCTCAAATAGCCTACACCTGTGTCTGTCCCAGGCTCGCTGACAGGAAACTCTGAGGGCCCAGAATATTTGATACAATGTTGCAAGTTTTCTAGCACAAGCCTTGGGCTGGACCCAGTTGATACAATGTTTCAAGTTCGTTGGGCTGGACCCAGTTGATAGTTGATACAATGTTTCAAGTTCGTTGGGCTGGACCCAGTTGATAGTTGATACAATGTTTCAAGTTTGTTGGGCTGGACCCAGTTGATAGTTGATACAATGTTTCAAGTTTGTTGGGCTGGACCCAGTTGATAGTTGATACAATGTTTCAAGTTCGTTGGGCTGGACCCAGTTGATACAATGTTTCAAGTTCGTTGGGCTGGACCCAGTAGATACAATGTTTCAAGTTCGTTGCAGACAGGCCATGTGTAACCAATGTGATTTATATGATATTTATCTTTCAAATCAGGATATTTTCTAACTGCAAATATTTGTTGGCTTTATTTGTTGTCTTTATGTAGACTATTTTTACATAATTGGCAATGGAAGTAGAAGTTACTTTTTAGGTTTGTATCATTTTCATTTAGATTTGGATAGAATTTTGATTAACCACATTACAATGATTTAGAGATATGAAGACGTTATTATCAATTAAATGAAACTGTTTCACAAAAAATGTGCATATGAAAACCATAACTGACACGCAGATCGGTAGAAATGGTAAGATAAATTGGCATTCCACATGAGAAAGGTTGCCGACTCCTCGTGTAGCCTACTACCGGAAACTTCCGGAGAGTAACGGCAGAATCTGTGAAAGCCAGCAGGAGCGGGAGGAGAATAGTTGGGTCAGGTTAAGTTTTTTCTTCTTCTGGTTCTCTAGATCTCTGGTGCCCTCGGGGCATCAAACCTTAAGCTTAAAGCTCAATGCATATAGTTGATTTTATTAAAATTCATAGGGTATGTCTATATGTGGAAAAATACACGTTAAAAATTTTTTAGCAATCGATTGGTCGAAAGAACAGACAACTTTCGGTCGACCAATATTTTTTTTTCCAGTCGGGGACATCCCTACAACACACACACACACACAACAAATGTCAACACGCACACACACACACACTAAAATGTAGTGTGCACTAACGACTCCTGTGGCTGTATATCAGCGTCTATGGAACAGGGTTATATTGGTGATTCCCCTTGCCACTTTATGGTTAAGCCAATGGGTTTTTGGTTTTGTCTTGCCTTCGCCTACTCAACATGGCATCTTATTGGCTGGTTTGCGTAGCTTGCTAACGAGGGAGGATGTTTCAGTTAGAATCGTCCCAGCGAACAAGCACCAAGCCAGCGGTAAGTTGTTGGTTGCAAAGCACTATACGTCGAAACTGATTTTTATACTCCCAAGTGATGATGTAAATGTATAATTTATATCAATTTGTTTGTAAATGTTATTCGAACATCACACATAAGATGCAGTGTTTTTTTTGGTGAATATTTGTTGTGCATTTTGTTGTAGAGAATTCCAGCTAATACTGGCTAGCAACTTTACTGTGTCTGGTGGGGGGGGTTGTATATTTTGTACAGTGCGTGAGTGCAGAGTTGGATGGCGAGCCGTGCATTGCATGACGTGCAATGTTGTGCTGTTCCTATCAGAATAAAGCTCCATGACTGGTGTTACAAGATGGAGTTCGTGTTGATGACTGATTGTACACAACGCAAGAAGAGTACTGTTACATCTAGTGTGTACTAACGACTACTGTGTTTGTATAGTGTGTACAAAACGACTACTGTGGGTGTATATCTGTAGTACTGACGGTGCAGTCTTCAGAGCAGGAGGCGATGCAGTGGTCATCAAAAGGGTTCCACTTGACATCCAACACCCTGGCACTGTGACCACACACCCTGGGGTGGTGGGGGTCTACTCTACCAGTCTGGGAAGAAGGAGAAGAAGGCCAGGGGAAAGAAGAGGAAGAGAGAGGATATATGGTGTATAATGCGTTCACTAGGCTTGTCAAGCAATAATGAAAACACACACACACACACACACACACACACACACACGACCAAATCAGACCAGTAAAAATCCTCTTACAGGAGGAAGTGGTGTAAACAGGAAATTACATAAACAGGAAGTGAGGTCACTCAGCAACGTGGGAGAGGCTATACCAAAGATTATGGATACACAGACAAGACACATGTCTCTCCGCCCTAACAATGGCAGTCGTTGTCCACAAATCGGCACAGCGGGCTGTCTAGCACCCGCCTATCCTTTCTTTGGATTGGTGGATACATCTCATTATTGTAATAATTTTTTTTGAATATTCGATTAGGGTTGTTGACGTCAACCGGCTGTATTCAATTGAGAGCGATGCTATGCTACTAGCCTCATGACATGAATATGCATAGCCATCTCGAGACGAACTCTGATTTAAAGTGTTTTTTTTCCCCTCAAAGTTGCCCGGGGATGTCACGTTTCCTACTTATATCAGTACGCTCGTAACAACTTAAGTGTTACGAAACTTCTATTCGATCAAATAAACCTCACGTAGCAAATAAGCCATTTTTTGTTGTTGACCAAATACTAAATAAATCTCATTGACCTTCATACATACGTAAAAATGTATGCACACGTGACTGTAAGTCGCTTTGGATAAAAGCGTCTGCTAAATGGCATATTATATACAAAAAACTCCTTGCTTGGTGGGCGAAACAACGGGAGAAAAAAAAACGCCACCTGGTGGAGGGAGACAGATTTTCAGCCGAGTCAGACCTCTCTCCCTCCTCTTCCTGTCTGGTTATACAGACACACCTGGAGCACAAATTGATGACGTATGTTGCGCTGCTGAGAGCCGGGTAGAGACGAATGGATTACAATAATGAGATGGATTCACCATCCCAAAAACAAGGACAGGCAGGAACTAGACAGCCCGACGTACCGCTTAGTGGGCAACGAGAAGGGAGAAGAGGCGTGTCTCTTGTCAGTATATCCATCATCTTTGGTTGTCCTGACGAGCACAGAATGAATAGAACGGGCTTGGAAGCTCCAACCCTGGCAATTTGACTGGTGAACTCATTGGTACACTCACAAATGGCTGCCTGGTATTGTATATCAGCGTATAGTATACTGATGCTGGATTGCCATGGTAATGTTGAATGTTCATTCAAATGATACTAACTGATGTGTCTCTTGCAATGGAATGTATTTTTTGTTGTTGTAACTGTCAGTTGAATTCACTCAACAAATCACAGCACAGATTGAAGGGTACACTTCCTGCTTTTACTTCCTGCCAGGGTACACTGTACATTATATTATCATTATTATATTATTATTATTATATTATATTATATTATTATTATACACTGAAAATGGCTGCCAGTCCACCCACTATGCCATCATTGACTTGAATGGAGAAGCCCTTTCAATTCATTCTTATTTATATGACACTAACCTCTGCCCTAATCATTTTACATTTCAACAGGGTAGGGACGTCCCAAGTATACCAGATAGCAAGGACCGAGCCCTTCCCAGCTAGCTAGTTTAGCTAACTGGCAACAAAAACAGCTGGGTGCAAGTTAAAACTTGTGATGTTTATTTTCGATGGGCAATGGAGAAATAACTTGTAGGAGTATTGGTCACCATACGAAATCGGATGTCACCATGACATGCCAATGAGCTAACGCAACGACAAGCTGGTGTGAATGACCAGTACAACGGTGTTGTATCGAGGTGCTTCCCACTGGGCAGCAGTTGCTTCACCGGGCAGCTTTATCACATGTCGCTGGCGGTAGCTAACGTGGCAAATGTGTCCCATCCCACTTGATTATACAGTATGTCGAGTACGATAGCAGTCTACAAGAGAAATTAATTTGTAATATTGGTGGTAACCATCTGGATGTCACCATGAAACAGTCTACTGCTCAATGGAGAGAGTTGGCGCTGGCAACACAACAACACAGGGTGTCCTTCGCTCCTGAGTAATTTAGTGTAGCCAATATCAGGCCAGTAAGGAGAGAGAAGTAGCTAGATTGTGTAGCTCAGCCAAACTAAACTGCAGGTCCGGACCCAGAGAAGGGTAAATCCAGACAACATTGCATTTTGTTATATAAAATACATTATTTTTAGACTGTTTAAAAAATATATATATATATATCAACCGGGCGCAGCTGCCTCTAATTCAGCAACCTCGCGGTCTAATCCAATGGCGTGGTTATATGCAAATACAAGAGGCCGCGTCTTACCCAATCACATTAATGTAAATATCCTTGGCGGGACCTTGAGACAAGCGGGCAGAAATAATCAGAAAGATTTGACAGCGGTTCAATTGTAAATAGCACAGATAGATACTGATAACTAAACTCGTTCTTTGTTAATATGGCGTGTAAAAAAAAAAAAAAAAAAGAGTTTACTCTGAAAACCGTATATTCAAAGACGAGTGGCCGAAACAGTATTTATTTATTAATTCTCCCCGCAACTAGCACAAAACCAACGTGCCTGAAATGCAGGGAGTCCGTATCTCTGGTGAAAAGTGGCCATGTTAAACACCATTATGACACCAGGCATAGTAAACTGGATCAGACGGATCCCCTGAACAAGGAGGTGAGAACAAACAAGATTAACCAACTCAAATCCCAATATGAGACGTCCACCAAAGTCCTTGTCAATTCCCTGACAGCCCAACAAAGTGCAATGGAGTGTTCACTGAGGATAGCTAGGGTTTTTGTAAAACACACAAAAAAAACGCTGAGATGGTAAAAATAACGCATGTGTGAAGTTGCTGACACCTTGCTTGAAGGTAAACAAAAAGATGAGCTCAGGGAAGAAAACGTGGCTTTGAAGGAGCAGGCTGGTGATTGGCTCTGAAGGAGCAGGCTGGTGATTGGCTCTGAAGGAGCAGGCTGGTGATTGGCTCTGAAGGAGCCGGCTGGTGATCGTGACCCTGTCCCTTTCTGGGGAAAGATGGCGCCTGCAGCGGATGTCCCTGTTCTCAATAAACTGCCGCTACACATCCTGACCACGTTTGGCTCCACAGACAGCTGTGGAATCAGCCTTCTCTTTATTAAAAACAAATACTGCACCAGGCTCACCAATGAACACCTGCACCAGTGTCTCAGAGTTGCTCTCACGCCATTTGTGCCAAAGTTCAAAGCGTTGGCAGGAGTCAGAAAGTGTAATTTCTCTCATTACTGCAGGGCAAGTCATGATTTGTATTATTTTTCAAAGGCCCCATGTACAATGGTTCACAGTGCACTTTTTTTTTGTTGCATAGACAATTATGCAACCGCTTTTGTTCTTCAGCAATGTTGATGCAATGTTGCACGTTTACAATCGAAATAAGTTGTAATTAATTCAATTCTTAGCCTCATTTAATGTATTTAATGTACATTTTATATAACAACATGTCTCCTAAGTCGTAGTCCACTATGTTTGTTACTACGCTGACCCACAGCGCCGATAAAGGACCATCTCCATCCGGACCTTTGCCACCTGGGGAATGTGTCAGTGGACCTTTTCAAATAGTAGTTGAGTACCCCTCGTTTAGCCCCTCCCCCCGGTAACGTACGTGATGGATGGAGAGGACCAAGAATGCCCCGCCCCCGGAGCATTCCGTTACTATGGCAATGAAGCGTGGGTTGACGGAGCAGTAGTGGTTGTCGTGGACGCTGTGTGTGATCGGGATTCCGTGGTAACCGTGGTCTTTGGTGGAGGCCTTACCGTAGACGTGACGGAACTTAGAACTACGGTACGGAGGGCACCATGACATCTAGGAAGAGGAAGAGGAGGACGATTACAGTGTTAAAAGATGATGAAGATGGAAGAAGATCATGATTGTATATGAACAGGTGGGATACACACACAGGTGGTTTAAGGACAGCTTGTGAGTGTCCCTCATATGCTATTGAGAGGTCCAGTTGGACAACAATGGGTGTGTGTGTGTGTGTGTGTATGTGAGTGAGAGTGGGTGTGTGAGAGTATGAGTGAGTGTGTGTGAGAGTATGTGTGCGTGAGAGTGAGTGTGTGTGAGAGTATGAGTGCGTGAGTGTGTGTGCATGAGTGTGTGTGTGAGTGTGTGTGAGTGAGAGAGAGTGAGTGTGAGAGTGAGAGTGTGAGAGTGAGAGTGTGAGTGTGTGTGTGTGTGTGAGAGTGTGTGAGCGTGTGTGTGTGTGTGTGATTGAGTGGTGACTCCTCACGTTTTTCCTCTCCATATCGTCTTCCTATAATAAAGACTAAGAATAGACTAATCCTTCTATTGTCATATTGTCTTATCTCATACATAATGCACTGTTTTCCCTCCTGGCTACGGCGTGTCCTTAGTGAGTCTTTAATCCGTAACACCCTCTCCCGTTGCCTGACTGACTGGGACAAACAAACAATGGCACACACGACCTTTGACATTTGACCTTTAGGCAGGACAATAGAGTCGACAGTGTAATAAGTCATGGAAGTCAGAACACACAGCAACATACCAACAACTAGTATTACCTCTAAGCAGGAATGGAAGTTAAGCTAGCCCGCCAGCTGACTAGTACTCTTCAGACTGGGCAAGTAGCTTAGTGGGTAAGAGCGTTGTGCCAGTAACCGAAAGGTCGCTGGTTCTAATCCCCGAGCCGACTAGGTGAAAAAAAATCTGTCGATGTGCCCTTGAGCAAGGCACTTAACCCTAATTGCTCCTGTAAGTCGCTCTGGATAAGAGCGTCTGCTAAATGACCCCAAAAAAAATAAAAATAATAAATGTGGCAAACTAGCTCTGCGGCCAATTATGTATTTTGAAGTATCGCATCGCACAGAGTTTGGACCTCATGTTTCCCAGGCTAGTAGAAATCACAGTCTACTAGTCCGGCTGGCCAGTGCCCAAAAATCCTTAAGTTTCATCAATGCCTCTAAGACCACAGGACATATTTTATTCCCGCAAAGTAGATATAGCTCAAGACTGTGTTAGTCCACCGAGCTAAAGCATAGAGCGAGTGTTGGGGTCACCAGTAGTGATTTGGCTTTGACCCCTCACTCATTACCTCACCTGCACAGCAGGTTATTCACAAAACCACAAAACATTGTTATCTATATCGTTAAACATCGTTAAACATCGTTATCTACATCGTTAAACATCATTAAACATTATCTACATCGTTAGCCTTCAAAGTATTCACACCCCTTTACCTTTTCCATGTTATGTTACAGCCTGAATTAAAAATGGATTATGTTTTTCGAAATGTTTACAAATTAATGAAAAATTAAAAGCTGAAATGTCTTGTGTCAATAAGCATTCAACCCCTTTGTTTATGGCAAGCCTAAAAAAGTTCAGGAGTAAAAATGTGCTTAAGTCACATAATAAGTGGCATGGACTCATCTCTGTACGGTCCCTCAGTCGAGCAGTGAATTTCAAACACAGATTCAACCACAAAGACCAGGGAGGTTTTCCAATGCCTCACAAAGGCCACCTATTAAAAATAAACAGACATTAAATATCCCTTTGAGCATGGTGAAGTTATTAATTACACTTTGGATGTTGTATCAATACACCCAGTCACTACAAAAGATACAGGCGTCCTTCCTAACTCAGTTGCCGGAGAGGAAGGAAACCGCTCAGGGATTTCACCATGAGGCCAATGGTGACTTTAAAACAGTTACAGAGTTTAATGGCTATGATAGGAGAAAACTGAGGATGGATCAACAACATTGTAGTTACTCCACAATACTAACCTAATTGACAGAGTGAATAAAAAATATTCCAAAACATGCATCCTGTTTGCAACAAGGCACTAAAGTAATACTGCAAAAAATGTGACAAAGCAATTCACTTTCTGTCCTGAATACAAAGTGTTGTATTGGGAATTTCCCCAAACAACACATTACTGAGTACCACTCTCCATATTTTCAAGTATAGTGGTGGCTGCATCATGTTATGGGTATGCTTGTAATTGTTAAGGACTGGGGAGTTTTTCAGGATAAAAAAAGAAATTGAATGGAGCTAAGCACAGGCAAAATCCTAAAGGAAAACCTGGTTCAGTCTGCTTTCCACCAGACACTGGGAGATGAATTCACCTTTCAGCAGGACAATAACCTAAAACACAAGGCCAAATATACACTGGAGTTGCTTACCAAGATGTTCTTGATTGGCCAAGTTACTTTTGACTTAAATCTGCTTGAAGACCTATGGCAAGACTTGAAAATGACAGAGTTTGAATCATTTAAAAAGAGTAAATGGGCAGATATTGTACAATCCAGGTGTAGAAAGCTCTTAGAGACTTACCCAGAAAGACTTCATTTTCAATAAAATTTCCAAAAAAATGTCTAAAAACATGTTTTCACTTTGTCATTATGGGGTATTGTTGTGTGTAGATGGGTGAGAAATGTTGTAATTGAAACCATTTTGAATTCAGGCTGCAACACAACAACATGTGGAATAAGTCATGGGGTATGAATACTTTCTGAACGCACTGCATCTACTGTAGCACCCGATATGCCCTGGAATTATTACAATATAATACAAATAATATATGCCAATTTATCCAAAGCGACTTAGTCATGCGTGCATACATATCTTACGTATGGGTGGTCCCGGGAATCGAACCCACTATCTCTACCAACTGCGCTACAGAGGACAGATATATCCTGACTAGTATCAATAAGGGGGGGTCATCAGTTCAACCCTGAGAAAAACATCAACAAGTGTCCAGAATGAGTTGAAGAAGCCATAAATCATGTCTCCCTGCTTGGTCTTACCTTTTGAGACGGTCCTAGATCCGGAGCCTCCGATACAATAACCCCTTTACAGCATCTCATAGGCTAACGGACGACTCTCTCTGCGTTTCTGGCTGAGCGCGGGGCGTGGCGTGTCTTAAGTCGTTGGGTCGGGCCGGGCAGGCCGGGTGTCCGGTGGAGGTGGATGTTTTGTATTGCGGCGGTCATGCATAAATAACACTGCAAGCTACAATACAGGCACATCCCTTCACAAGAGTGTGTGTGTGTGTGTGTGTGTGTGTGTGTGTGTGTGTGTGTGTGTGTGTGTGTGTGTGTGTGTGTGTGTGCGTGGATATCACTTCACAGGACGTCGTTTGATAAATATGATTTAATTTCATAACAAGTCACACTACTATTAAAAACATTAATTAATTAACCCTCATTGACTCATTGTACCAAAAGCTAGCTAGTGCCGTCGGAAAGTGTTCACACCCCTTGACTTATTCCACATTTTGTTGTGTTACAGCCTGAATTTAAAATGGATTAAATTGATTTCTCACTTCTCGCCCATCTACACACAATACCCCATAATGAGACATTTTTGTACATTTATTGAAAATGAAATACATAAAAATATCTAATTTACATAACTATTCTCACCCGAGTCAATACATGTTAGAATCACCTTTGATAGCGATTACAGCTGTGGGTCTTTCTGGGTTGTACAATATTTGCACATTATTTTTTTTTAGAAAATCCTTCAAGCTCTGTCAAATTGGTTGTTGATCATTGCTAGACAAGTCTGGCCATTGATTTTCAAGCAGATTTAAGTCAGAACGGTAACTAGGCCACTCAGGAACATTCAAATGTCGACTTGGTAGGCAAGTCCAGTGTAGATTTAGCCTTGTGTTTTAGGTAATTGTCCTGCTGAAAGGTGCATTTGTCTCCCAGTGTCTGTTGGAAAGCAGACTGAACCAAGTTTTCCTCTAGGATTTTGCCTGTGCTTAGCTCCATTCCATTTATTTCTATCAAAGGAAAACTCTGTAGTCCTTGCCGATGACAAGCATACCCATAACATGATGCAGCCACCACCATGCTTGAAAATATGAAGAGTGGTACTCAGTGATATGTTTGGGGAAAATCCAACACAACACAACACTTTGTATTGAGGACATAAAGTTAATTTCTTTGCCACATTTTTTGCAGTTTTACTTTAGTGCCTTATTGCAAAAAGGATTCATGTTTTGGAATATTTTGTATTCTGTACAGGCTTCCTTCCTTTCACTATCATTTAGGTTAGTAATCCCTGAGCGGTTTCCTTCTTCTCTGGCAACTGAGTTAGGAAGGACGCCTGTATCTTTGTAGTGACTGGGTGTATTGATACACCATCCAAAGTGTAATTAATAACTTCACCAAGCTCAAAGGGATAGTCAACGTCTTTTTTTTTTTTTTTTACCCATCTACCAATAGGTGACCTTCTTTGTGAGGCATTGGAAAACCTCCCTGATCTTTGTGGTTGAATCTGTGTTTGAAATTCACTACTCGACTGAGGGACCTTACAGATAATTATATGTGTGGGGTACAGAGATGAGGTAGTCATTCAAAAATCATGTTAAACACTATCATTGCACACAGAGTGAGTCTATGCAACATGTGACTTGTTAAACACATTTTTTATCCTGAATTTATTTAGGCTTGCCATAAAAGGGGTTGAACACTTATTGATTGAAGACATTTCTAAAAATATATAATTCTACTTTGGCATTATGGGATATTGTGTGCAGATCAGTGACACAAAATCTCAATATAATCAATTTTAAATTCAGGCTGTAACACAACAAAATGTGGAAAAAGTCAAGGGGTGTGAATACTTTGTGAAGGCACTTGTATCCTTGTAAAGTGGTGTTTCATACTCTTAGGTCTAAGTGTCTGTTGACATCGTTTCCCTCCTGAGTTAATGGAAGAGAATACAATCATATAGGAGAATAGTATATACAGTGGGGGAAAAAAGTATTTAGTCAGCCACCAATTGTGCAAGTTCTCCCACTTAAAAAGATGAGAGAGGCCTGTAATATTCATCAT